TTTTTTATTAAAAATAAAATATCATGAATTTAAATCATATGATATATAAATAAAATAAGTTAAAAGGTGAGAGGAGATAGATTGACTACCATTATGGAAGTCAAGATAAAAAAAAAAGTAAAAACATAAATATTACAGATTTTAATAGAGTAAGAAGAAAATTAAACATTAAGTGATATTTAAAGTTAGGAGATAAAAAAGTTATATAGAAAGTTGTTAAAAATTGTATTAAAAAATTGTTCTTAAATATATTCTAAATCTTTTTTTTTTTTGTTTTATTGTCAATACAATATCAACTGTATCATATGCAATTGTAAATTTATAATTTTCACCAAAAAAATTGTAAATTTATAATTATAACATATTATTAAATAAAGTAAGATGCATATAATATTATAAATAAATTTTTAAATAAAAAATTAATTATATAATAATATATTATAATTAAAAATTCTTAATATTGTCTGATAATAAGAGTATATATTATTTTTAGTTTTTTGGAAATATATTATTCCTAACTCCTACTAAATTGTAACTGATTTATTGCAGGGGCACCCAAATGGATGTCATTTTGTCGTTATGAATTTCTACGAGAGGAATTTCTAGGAAGGGAATTTCTTTTAGGGGAAGGTAAGTAATAAAATTCAATTACTTAGCATTTGGATCAGTGCACGTGCTAAGATGCACTAATTTTTCTTTTTCAAGTTAAAGGGTTTGCCCAACCAATCTATGATATTTTATGCAATTACTTATTTATTACAATACTATATTTGATAAAATATTACATAAGATTGTAAATTTATAATTTTAAACAATATTATAATTATAATATTATTGTTTGTCTAACATATACCCTTAAAGCAAAGGTTAAGCCTCATTAATTATGGTATCTATAATTAATTTTTTACAAATTTTCATATTAAATTCATATTACAAATTTTGATTATAAATATTATATTTTATTTTAATTTTACATTTTTATTTTATTTTAATTGAATTTTTTATAAAAATTTGTAAAAAATTAATTACAAATATCTTAATTAATAAAGTTTAACACATGTCTTAAATGTACAAGTTAAAATTTTTTTAAATTAAATTATATACAAGAGTAAAAAAAATTAATTTCAATTTCAACACTAATGACATATGGATATTTTTAATTCAATAATTAATAAATTTAAAATTACCTTTTTTTTAATAACAACTAATAAAAAAATGTAATTAATATATTTTAATCTATGCGGCACAAATTCGAAAAACTCTTAATATTTTTCCTTTGACCTTTATTTTTCTTACTGGGATAGTGAAAGTCAATATTGAGTTCTCAAAGTTTGCAGTCTTAATTGCAAAAATCATCAGCGATCAATAAATACTTTGAAAAATCAATTATTGAATTAAATATTAGGTTTTTTTAATCTATCCGCGTAAGGTATATATTAAGGGTATATTTATTATATTTTTTATAAATGATTTATATAAAAATTATAAAAATAAACTTTATTTTTAATATCAATATCATATTAAACAATTTAATTGGATGATCAATAAAGTTTAAGTCTTTTTTTATTTTTTATATAAATTAATAATAAAAAAGTACAATAAATGCACAATTATAGCACAAATTAGAAAATTCCTTAAATGTTTTATTTATATTAAATTATGGATATCAATTTTTAAGTTAATTTAATATTTATAAGTATAAATAATTATATATTCTCACATATATTTAACAATTCCACGTTTTATATTATTAAAAGATTAACCAGATATATACAACCAGTGTGAAAATTGACTTGCATATAAGTTTTGTTTGTCCAGACTGTGTTTTGTTATGTTGTAATTATATTTAGTTTTGTCTTTTACCATCCAAAAATAAAACTAAAGTTTGTGTGGCTTAACACTTATGCCCAAATTTTTTATTATTATAAATAGAAAAAAAAAGTGTTTTGAAGGTCATTCTTCAATTTTTTTAATAACATATTTAAAAACTTATTTTTTAATTAATTTTTGAAAATAACTATTATATTAAAAGTTTATTTTATATAAATTATGTATGTAAATTTTTAAATTGTTTTAGTAGAGTTGACTACTTTGTTAATTATACAAAATTTAATACTATTAAATATGTCAATAAATAAATTTTTTTTAATCAAAAGATTATAAGTTCTAAATCAATATAAAAATTAATATGTATATATATGTGTGAATAGAATTTTAACTGTTAGTTTTTAAAAATATTAATTAAAAGATGAATTTATAAAAAAAAGTCTTTAAAAAAAAATTTAGGAGAATGACATGCATTATCCTAACCTCTTTTATATATATATAGAGGGAAAAATATTTATTCGTCTTGTCTCTTAAAAATTATGAGAAAAATTATTGTAAAATTATATTGTTTCAATAAACTTTTAGTAAAAAAAGACTAAAATACCTTATTTTTAAAATATAAATTAAACTAATTTTGGTTATTTCTCATGATATTTGATTAAAATATGATGTGGTTTTAGAATGATTTATCTCTTAATTTTTAAGAAATAAGGTGAATAAGTATTAATATACATATATATCCCGGTTCCCATTTAAAAATTAATGTGTCCTAAGTTTAAAAACACAAATTTTCAATAAATAATATCAAAAACTAATCATTGAATTTAATAATCTATTGATATAGATTATGCATGTCAACTTTTAAATTAATCTAAAATTTATAATTTTTCAATCAAGAAACTTATTATTTTCTTGAATATATATTTAATGGAGCTAAATTTTGTATAATCAATAAACTAGTTAAGTATATTTAATCAATTGAATATTAAAATCCAAGATCTACATGACTAAAATATAAAATACAAAGGTTGGTATTTGAAATTAAAACTCTAATTTTTTATGAGAGTTGGAGTTATATATATATTAGTGGGTATAAGTATGTATTGCAAAAAATTAAGTTAAAAAATATCTTAAAACTATATCATTTTAATAAATTATTTCAAGCAAAAACTAAGACAACCTCATTCTTAAATTAAAAATTAAGATATTTTGGTTTTTTTTTTCAATGAAACTTTATCAAAATAATATGGTTTTAGGGTATTTTTTCCACCTCATTTTTTACAATATAGGCTGGTGCCTATTTTTCCCCTATATATGTGATTGATCATAGATGAAAAAATGTATATTAGTCTTGATTTTCATTAAAAAATTAGAATATTAACTTGGAAAGCACCACACTTCTATGAATATTTTTAAAAAGTGAATGTTGGATTTAATATTCTATTTATAATTTTTTTATCAACCAAATAAAAATTATCAATTTAAATACAAGTAGTACTTCTGCCTATGCCTTAGGATGAGTATCTTATACCAACAGGTCAAAATTTATAGACTCTTAAAAATTTAAATTCAAGTTATCAATAATAATTAATTTTCACATTTCTATACCAAACTTACTTATAATTTTCACTGAGTTGGGATTCAGAGCATTACACATATTGCTAAAAAATCATACCCTTTAAAACTTCACTGACAGTGCACATTAAAAGGGTTGAGAATCCAGTCATGAAAAGGACACAGCCCTTAGCCTTACCCTTCAACCATAAAAGGGACTTGATCTAAATAGCTCCAACAAGCAACAAGCCTGTCAGCAGAGGCCTCTGCTGCATTGAAGTCGTGTCCCAAACATTATTCCAAAATGTAGTAGTAACGAACATAAAGGACCAGTCGTGATTGAGTTTTTTATTTGTTTGTCCGTTAACAAGCATCCCTAAAGGCGGCTCGAATTGCTTTAGGCAATGGTGTATTAGCATCCCAGCAAGATAAAACCTGAGAGGCAAAGGAGCAAGACAACAATCCATGATTGACATCTTCTGATGACACGTTGCATCAGGGACAGTTGAAATTGCCTCAATCAACTTGGACACCTCTCTGAGCCAATTTCTTTTTGGTTGATTAGCCGTTCAAGAACATTCTCAAGCAAAAAAATTAACTCTCCTAGATAAGAATTTGTTCCAAATTGCTGCACACAAATCTGCATCAACAAATCATTGCTTTGGAATCATCGGTGAATAAGCTTTCTTGGATTGTAAGATCCATTTTTATCAAATCTTCAAATTCTTCTACTCCTCTTCCCCTCCACCAACCTAGCTCCTAATAATCTGATAACACCCTCACCTCTTCACGTGCCCTTCCGAAATGAATCCTTCTCCAGTTGAATTTCCAAGACCAGAATCCATTGTGCCATTCCCCCATGTTGCATAATTTTACACCCGTCTCTTGAGAGATTTTTTAGCCTTGACAAAACAACTTTGAAAGACTGGTTGCACAGCGGTTCATCATATTAATCATGCATACCAGCTTTTAGCTTGATTCAATATATCTAATTAGTTTATTGATTATATGCAAAATTTAACCCCCATTAAATATATGTTAGAGAATAAAAATGTCTTGATCAAATGATTATAGAAGTTAGATTAACTTAAAAATTGACATGCATAATTTATATTAATAAAACATTAAATTCAATGGTTAAATTTTGAAAATATTTATTAGAGAGTGGGTTTTTTGAAGTTAATACTTTAATTTTTTTAATAAGAATTGAAACTAGTATACACATGTGTGCACATATATATATATGGTGATTAGTACACATTTTAATTCAATATATTACATAATATATTTATTAAAAAATTATTATTTCTTGATTTAAAATTTTTTATGGAAAATAGAGAAATATATTAAGTAATAAGAAATTACAGCAAAATCTCCATCTCATGGCATATAGCCAAAATCAAAATAACCTACGAACAAAATTAGAAGCATAATCTACAACACTGCTAACAGATTTAAACTATGCTCATGACGGATATAGACAATTAAGCAAAGAGAGCCATCTGCAACTAGGGATTGAATTTACAATCGATGTATGGGCTAAATAGGGCTACTAATCTAGAAAAGGGAGTCACTATGAGTATTAAAAACTACTAGACATCCTCACCTATTTAACCAGCTTCTTGGGGAGAGCAAGGGATTCCAAAAATATACAATCCCCAACCCACAAGTTGCCGCCCTACTTGATCTTAAAGAAGAACAACCAAGAGGGGTATAGGCCTTTTCCTGACAAGCACAAGGCCCCCTAGTCGCCTCTATATACTTCCAATCATGTTCTCATCTCTGCCGATCCTTTTCAAACCCATGCTGTCGAAACTCATTAAGGGAACTAGAGCCCCTTTGCTAACTTGAAAATCAGGCTTCCCACATAAACCATAGCCGGCCTTACCAACAGCCTCCCTTTTCTTCAACAATCGACTAGCTAATCGAGAATTGATGTGAACCAAATTCGCCAAATTCCACCCCCACCAAGATCCCATCGGAGGAGATGCACCAAAGCAAGATTCTTGCCCGTTAAATAGGAGAAACCCACTTCATCGACAAGATCAATTCTAATTGCAACCTTTGAAAATCAACAAATGTAAACTCTAGAAAACCCAAAAAAGCCACTGCCTTGTGGTCCCTTAGGTTAGAGTTTCCAAAGCAAGACAACGACAAGAAGGAGGAGATCAAGAGGAGGAAGAGAGGGGTAAGAAGAAAGGAGGGATGAAGAAACTCCTATGCCGAAGAAAAACCCTAGAGAGAAAAACCTGCCGGCACTGCTCTCAACTCTAGAAGCAGTGCACGAGGGAAACCCTAGGGAGACAATCGTGAAAGTCATGCACACAAGATATAAGAATCATTTGAATCAATTTTATTTATATTATATTTTTAATTTTTTTTGTTACATATGAAGAAAAATTAACTAATCAATGTCGCAAAAAAGCAACACCTAACATGTCCCTTTCTAAAAAAGCATTCAGTCTAGGCGGAGGAGAATCAAAGACGGTTGTTCCAATTGGCAAACTATGCCCAATTCCAGCCAAAAAGTCTGCCGCCGAATTAGCTTCACGAGGTGTGTGTTGAATAATAATGGAATCAAATTCAAATCTGAGCCTTCTGATGTCAAACACAAGAACCGCTGAAAGACTATCTTGCTCCTTCTGGCCATTTATAACCTGTACTGCAGATAAGGAGTCCATTTCAACAACTACATGCTTAAGCCCCTTATTCTTGCATAAGATCAGTCCTTCTCTACAGCCCCATAATTCAGCTAAGAAAATGGAAACTAAACCAATGTTTACCGAATAACACTGGATAAAAACACCTGACTGGTCTCGCAACACCCTTCCTGCACTTGCAAATCCAGTGTCTTGTATTCGAGAACCATCTGTATTTAGTTTGTAAAATGGCGGATCTAGTGGATACCAACATATCCATCTTGGTTCTCTCATTGAAACAAAGATATTGCATACCATTGCTTTGTATGTGTCCTGTGCATAATCACAAATTTTATCACAAAGTGCAGCTGCTGGTATATGCTCACCGTTAAAAATGAAGCGATTCCTGCATTTCCATAATTGCCAGATAATAGACAAAAAAAGATCATAGGACATCTCCCCATGCTGTACTCGAGTAACTTTCCTGGATGAGATTTTAATCCAGTGCTGCCAAGGCAATTGAAAAAACTCCCTATCACCCAATCCTAGTAGAGTCCAGACTTGGGTGGCAAAAGGGCAATCCCTCAAAAGATGCAATGGTGTCTCTGGATCCCCTCCACAACGAGGACAGATTAAAGAGGAGGCCAAATGTCGTTCAAAACGAACAGCATTAGTTAAAACTCTATTGCACAATAGTAGCCATAGAAACATCCTAACTCTTTCAGAACATCTAAGCTTCCACACCCATAGCCAACTCTGATCTTGAAGTGGAATTGGTGCCTTTTGTTGTAAAATCTGGTGAAAAGCCGACTTAATAGAGAAAAAGCCATCATCAGAATATTTCCACACTATTTTGTCTTTAACACTGGCAGTTGAAGACAATGGAATGGACAAAATTTCATTCACTTGTGCTGGCGGTAGAAGGTTGGCTAAAAACTCCTTATCCTAATTCATGGAGCTATTAATGGCATGGGAAACTGGCATTGTTAATGATTCCATAACAACTGGACCTGTGATGAAATTACACAAGGGTGAACTATAAGTCCAATAATCCTTCCAGAAATTTATAGAATCACCCAAACCAATCCGCCACTGCAACCCAAATTCTAACACGTCTTTGCAGTGAATAATGCTCCTCCAGGTAACTGACGACCTTGGACTAGCTTCTGCAGAAAGGAAAGTACTTGTGCGGAAGTATTTTTGCCTCATGACTTGACACCAAGGGGCTTCATCCCCTACCAGAACTCTCCAACCCAGTTTTGCGACCAATGCGCGGTTGTTATCCCTTGCTGCTCGCAATCCAAGGCCTCCTTGATCCTTACTTCTACAAACCACCTCCCAGCTAACAAGGTGGGGCCGTGAGTTCCCAGTCTTTGTGCCCCAAAGAAAGTTCCTGTTCATTTTGTCTATTGCATCACATGTGCTATGAGGCAATAAGACAGTTTGCATAGTGTATGCAGGAATAGATGAAGTTACAGACTGGATTAGAATCCTTCTTCCTGCTAAACTTAATGTATTTTGTTTCCAACTGGCTAATTTTAACTGCATTTTTTCAATTATATACTTGTATTGTGCTGCGGAATTCCTACCATGAATTATTGGAACCCCCAGATAGGTGCCCAAGTTTGACGTGAGTGGAATACCACATGAAATGCTTAAAGATCGAGCCATCGCAGACTGAATATTTGGTGAAACAAAAAGCTTTGATTTTGCCAAATTAATTTCAAGACCTGAATAACTTGCAAACTCCTTCAGACAATTTATCACCATTGATAGCTGAGAATGTGAAGCTTCACAAAAAAGCATTAAATCATCAGCAAAGAATAAATGAGATAGAGCAAGACCTCCTCTGCTTAGTTGTATTGGCTTCCAAGTCTTTGAGTGTATTCTGTTTAAAATCATACGGGATAACTTTTCCATAACCATAATGAAGAGATAAGGAGATAAAGGATCTCCTTGTCTTAGACCTCTTTGTGGCTCAAAATAAGGCAGTGGTTCTCCATTCCATAACACAGAGAGCTTCACAGAATTAACACAAAACATTATGAGCTTTACTAGTGTTGGAGGAATATTGAAGTCCAGTAGAACTTTCTCTAGGAAACCCCAACTAACACTATCAAAAGCTTTGTGAAGATCTATCTTTAAAATAATGGCACCTTTCTTCCCTTTCCTATGCCTTATGCTATGCACTGCCTCTTGGGTGAGAACTATATTATCTATGGTACTACGGCCAGCAAGAAAACTGCTCTGAAAAGGCCCTATGAGCTCTTGTAAATAAGGCCTTAACCTGTTCACTAAAACTTTAGATAAAACCTTATAAGCCACATTAAGCAAAGTGATTGGCCTGAATTTCTGAATAACATCTGGAGCGTCACCTTTTGGGATTAATGCAACATGTGCCTGTAAAAGGGAAGGCTCAAAGGATCCATTAATTAGAGCTGAATTGACAAAATGTAGGAGAGTTCCTGATACAGTGGTCCAATATTTTTGGAAAAAAATGGCTTGCAACCCATCTGGTCCAGGGCTTTTTAACCCTTTCATAGAAAATAGAGCTTGCTTTACTTCATCCAAACTGGCTGGTTTCAAAAGCGATTCGTGTGCACTGTCTTCCATTTGCGGCTGGAAATTGAGATAGGAGTTAAGCATTATATTTGTTTGCTTTGCCACAAAGAGCTCTTGGAAAAAGGATCGAACATGAGATCGAAGTTGCATATCATCATCCACCCAATTGTCGTCAATCTTCAAGGTTGTAATCCTGTTTCGGTTTCTTTGAACAATTGTAGATGTATGATAGAAAGAAGTATTCCTATCCCCTGAATTGATCCACTCTACCCTAGACTTCTGACACCAAAATAGTTCTTCCGCGTGAAGAATCCTATGGTATTCTGTAAGCAACTCTCCCTCTAGCTTTTGCAGGAAGACTGAATACTGATAATCACTAGAATTTTGGATACCAGTTAGTCTAGCTACAAGTAATCTTTTCTGTTTGAAGATATCTCCAAAACTCTCCTTACCCCATGCAAAACATGCCTTACTCGTCTCTTCAATAGCTCGTGCCAAAGTTACATTATGTGATTTCCAAGCGTTTTCAAACACTGCACCAAAATCCTCTCTTGTTAACCACGCTACTTCGAACCGTGGAGGTCCTCGTGGACGCCTCACTGCAGAATTAGGTTGTATATTTAACAAGATTGGATGATGATCACTACAAAGTCTTGGGAGATTAATTAGCTTAGCCGTAGAAAACTCTTCCATTGTGCTAAGGTTCAGGACAGCTCTATTAAGTCTTTCCCTCATCACTGTTCTACCATTTCTCTTCTTAGTCCACGTGAAATGACATCCTAAAGCCTCTTTAGAGAATAAACCACAATCATCTAATCTATCTCGAAACACCTAAGCCCTTGAAAATCCACAATTTGGTATTGGAGAAACTTCCTCTGCAGATAAGACATCATTCATATCTCCCATAACAATCCAGCTACCTTGCATGGTTGCCGCTCTAGCTCTCATCAACGTCTAGAATTCTTCCTTCTTTGAACTGTTCGGTTGAATATATGCTAATGTGAGAAACCAACGAGAGGGACTGGCGTCAATTCGACAATGAATGTCCTGACATGAAGCAGAAAGAACTACCAATGAAACCGATTTTGATTTCCAGAAAAGCCATAAGCCACCTACCCTCCCTTGCGAGAGGACTTGATACTGCTCATCATATCCAAAACGTGCCATAAAAGCCATGGAATCATCATAAGAATTAGATTTTGTTTCTAAGAAGCAAAAGATATCTGGTCTATGCATCTTAATAAGTTCTTTACATTCCCTCCAGAATGGGCTGTATTTAATACCCCTACTGTTCCAAGTAACAAGCTTCATTGGGAAGATGTAAGAGGAGAGGTAGCCACTTCTAAGTGTATGGTTGGGTTTGAAGCGTGAGCTACAAGTGCCTGTGGATCATCATGTGATGTAGTAACTTGAAGTAAATGCAACTGCTGATGACCTGTATTGTTCACCTCACCATCTAAAGAGAGTTGATGGGAAGTCATGCAGTGGCCTTGGGACATTGGGTGACTTTGTGTTAAGGAGGGTGGAGGGTGGGTGTGTACTGCAGACAACTTCTCCTGACTAGAGTTAATCTGTGTTGTCTCCATTGTCACAACTTCAAGAGGCTTCAAAGGAGGTGGTTTGGAGATCTTTGAAACTGGTTTTAAGGCCCTAGTCTTGTTCTTCTTTTTCCTAGCTTTTGTTTGGTGGGCTAGTGATCCAGTTAACATAGTGGGCTCATTAGAAACAGTAGTAGTTGGACATGATTCAATAGGTTTATCTTGAACCTCTGGTCTAAGGGCAAGAATGATATCCATGGTGGCATTCGGTTTCAATGAATCCGCCAAATCAGTCGGCGTAACAGTTTGCTCAATTGACTGAGAATCTTCATGGCCTAGCAACTCTTTATTCTCCTCCAACACATCTGAAATAATTGCAAATCTATTGCTGCTCTGTTCCCTGTTCTCATGGGATCTCCCATGTGTTTCTTTTGCTTTTGTAGTCTTTTCAAGCCCTCTTTTGGCCCCAGCCAACTGCATGTTCTCCTGTCTAGCAGTAGTATCAGTGTTATGATTCCCTTTCATGTTTTTAGTTTGGGTATTCTTCCTGGGTTTGCGCTTGGCAATCATCCATGATCCATAAACCATATTATTTTCTTCAGTTTCTGGTTTCAAAGTTTGACTAAGAGCCACAATAGCTTTAGCCTGATCTTTGTTATTCACATCAGTTGTAACAGGATCCTTGCTTTCTGCCATGGGTGGGTTTTTAAGACTACAGGAATCTTCCTTATGCCCATATTCACCACAGTGAAAACATATTTTATGTAAACCCTCATATTCAACTAGAATAAGTGATTGTGGCAATTCCTCCAAATCCAGATCAACCGATGATGGCAGTTTCTTGCTAAGATCAATTTCAACACATACTCTAGCAAACTTTCCCCTTGTTGCCAATAAAGTCACTCTATCAACCTTTATTGGATTTCCTAGCTTCCGGGCTACATAAAGCACCACAGCTTCGTAATAGCACATCGCAGGAACACCATAAAGTTTAACCCAGACTGCAGTTTTTGGGGCCTTCGCACGAGCAGGTTGGAAACTAGGTTGCCAAGGTTGAACTGTCAAATAATGATCAAAGATTTTATATGGACCTCCTGTAAGGACGTTTAATCGGTCTTCAGACGAACCAAATTTAACGATGTAGTAGCCTAATCCAATATCAATAAAGTCATACTCGTATTCTGTATGCCATTCTTTCTGCAATCTTGCTCGGAGGACATGGAAGTGAACAGACTTCCCTAGTAACTTAACTATAATTGCATTCTGAAAGGGCGTGCATAGCCGCTGCCATAACGCTTTTGGAATTCTAACTTTCGGAATTTTTACTGCACCCATACTAGTACCATCCGTCGCCATCGGCGTGATCGTTTCCATCAATCCTTCAGCAGCGATCAATTCCTCCAATGTTACCAAAGGTGGTGTACGAGAGGCATCACCGTCAATTAAGGTATCACGAAACGACTTAAGTTGTGGTTCAAGAGAGGCAGCGCCAATAGGTAGGGTTTGATTGTGCGATTCAGAAGTAGTGGTTTCCAAGGGTGGTGGAAGCGGTGGGGGCGGCAAGCCATCCGGTTTGGGTGGGGGGTATGGCGGCGAGGGTTCCGTCATTGAGGGCTCCGAGAGAGAAGACTAATACTAAAAATCCTATATTATATTTTTAATAACTAAACTAAATAAGCATAAAAAAATATATTAAATTGAATATATTATAATCATTATTTAAATATATATATTGTTGGTCTAGGGTCATCTCCGGAAGCGTCTTCTTCAATGGGTAGTCTTTTATTTTTTGCGAATTGAGTCATGTTATGGGCAAAATTTTCTGGTCTAAATGGCATGAATGTGTTTGTTCTTTCTTCTTCTTATTATTTTATAATTTGATTAAAGTCATAATTTGTTTTTATGTCTTTGTTTTTCCTTTTTTTTCTTTTATTGAACGGCGATCATTTATTAGAAACGGCAGCACAAAGAGCACTCTGCCCATGTACATTTCAGCTAGGGTACTATGTCAACTGTCAAACAAAGATTATGTTCGAAAATGAAAAAAAAAAAAAAAATGGGGGGAAGAAGAAGAAGAACTCAGAGTCTCTTACCCATCAGCATCAGTGATAATAGAACCATGCAAGTCTCTGCGCAACAATCCCCCCTCCATAATAGTCTTCCTGCATTCAAGTAGCTTAACAACCAGTCATCAAAATTAAAAGAGTAGCCCTCCATTCTTCCTTTTAACCACTGAAAGGATCTTAATTGAGTTAATTCAAACATCTTTTCAATATTCTTTGACTTTCCTCTAAAGATTTTGTCACTTCGAGCGAGTCAGATTGACCACATGCAAAACAAACAACCCCCGCCCTTTCCTATCTTATTGGATACTAGCTGGGAGCTTATATATAACTGACCAAAAGCATCTTGTACTATTGTGGCAGCACTGAAGCTATCTCCCACCAAGCAAGGCTTGTGTCAGCACAAAAGCAATCTCCCACTATGTACGAGCAATGTTGCAGTGCAAAAATAAATGGTTTGTGTCTTCAAGAAATGAATCACATAATCCACGTAAGCATAAATCTTCATTGTTAATAACTCCCCTTTTTTATAAGTTAAGTCTAAACGGAACTCTATCAAGTAACATTTGCCATAAGAAAGTGTAAATCTTATTGGAGCAGCAGAGTTCCAAACTTGTTTGAATACCCCACTGTCATCCTCCTCTTGTTTACCAAGAATTGCAAAACTAGATTTTGCTGAATACATTCCTTCTTGGCTGTTAATCCATCTCCAATTTTCTTGTTCTCCTTGTGTAAGTGATGTCAATTGCAGCAAACTTTCCAGCGCCTGTTTTTGCTCTTCCTCCCAAGAAAAAAGCCTAAATCTCCACTGCAATTTCCATGTCCACTCGCCATTCTACCAGGTGCCCATTTGATTGACTTTATTTTCCTTTCCTGTTTTGATAAGAGATATAACTAGGGAAATTTGTTAGTCAATGTCTCTTCACCCAGCCATCTGTATATCTTTCCAAAACTTCACTAGCCTTCCATCCCCTATTACACAACAAAATCCTCTGACAGCCAATCTAATTTCCTAGCCTACCCACCACTTATGTTGCACACATCCCTCCACCAAATGGACCTTAATTAACCTTCAACCCTCCCTCAGTCAACCCAACTAATTTCATCCACAACACTATATATATCTCTCTTAAATGACCCTTCTCCATAATCCCTCTCCCCTTATGTAGCAGTGCTGAATTAAAGTTCCTTAAAATTTTTGATACTCAACCCGCCTAAGTCTTTACTACTACAAACCTTCTCCCAACAAACCCAATTTAAATTTCTATCCTTCCTGCACCTTCCCCATAAAAACTCATCCATCCTTCACTAGTGTATGTGATAAAATTAGATTGGTTGAAATAACATCTCCTTCCCACCCCTTCCTTCAAACCAAATGGCTCTCAATAGAGGACAATATTTAAGGCAATCAATTATGGCAATTATATATGAAACTGGTTTTTCTTCTCTCTCTCTCTCTCTCTCTCTCTCTCTCTCTCTTTTTTAAATTGCAGACATGAAATATTATTAAACTCGGACTACAAGGGGATTCCTGCCTATTACATCGAAGCATTCTTGATCGAGACATCAGCAAAACCCCGGTCCTCCCATTCATTTTGCTATCATTGCCTCGTGCACTCCCTGGTGTTCAAAATCCAGTCCGTAATGCTCACTAACCAATTTTCCTTCCTAGCCTTCAACCAATCAAAGGACCTACCTTGAGTAATTTCAAACACCCTGTCAACTTCAGGCAATTTTCCATAGAACAAACACTTATTCCTATTCAGCCTTATAGTCCAGACACTAGAAAACCAAATGATTTACCATCCTTCCCTCACTTTCCTGCCCATAAACAATTACATTTTTGCACAAAATCTTCCCAACAGCTGCTAGCTCTAACACTCATGATGCCCCACCATCACAGACATTCACCACAAGAAAATCCACATTTAATGACTAAATTATTAATCATTAAATCTTTATTTTTCGTCACAAATTATTATTTGTAATAAAATTTAAACCGTTAGTAAAACCCTTGTCATTAAAAGCAAAAATTAGGTAACTGTCACAGAAAATAATCTTATAGTGATAGAAAAAATTGACATTGTTAACAAGTTATTTATAACAATTTTATTCATCATAAAAAAAATATTTTTTGTTACAATAATTTTCATCACAAATGTTACAATTAAGTGACAGAAAAATAGTCGCAAATGTAATTGTGATAAAAAATTTAGTAATTAATTATTAAAATTGATATTAAATAAAAAAGATATTTATATAATTACAACACAAATATTGTAACAAAAATTTTGTCATAAAAAATAATATATAAATTTATCACAAAAGTTTAATAAAAAAAAATATTATTATTTCAATACTAATCAATTTTGATTAAAATTAATCAAGTCCGATTAAAATGAATCAGGATCAAACTAATCTCAAGTTTTATTGAGTTTCACATGTTTTATAGTGCAAAATTTTATTTTCTTAAATATTTCTCATCGATGTGTGATATATTTATAGTGCAAAACCTTATTCTCTTATGTGTTTTTTATCGATGTAAGATGCATTGATTAGAGAAAACTGACAATTTCTAGTGATGAAATATATTTTTAGTGATGAATTATTTGGTCATTATTGAATGTATAAGGTATATGTGACCACTATTAGAATGTTGTCATAATTGTAATGTATTATAGTGACGATTTTTATCGATAAAAGCTTATTTTATCTCTATGAACATTTTTTGGTGACGAAATATATTTTTTATGATGAATTTTTTTGTTCATCGTTAAATATGTATGCATTTATGACTAATTTTTTAGATTTATCACAATTGTGATAAGTTATAGTGATGATTTCAAATTCATCACAAATTTCTGTCACTAAAAACCACTTTTCTTGTAGTGATTTCCCCCATATATCCCATGCAAACTTGCAGTGTAAAAAAAAAATGGACATTTGCCATTCCATCTTTACATAATGCACATTTTATTGAGTTATAATCCACCACAATACCACTTTTGAAGAGACTAAATTTGATGAGACTTATTCTTTCTAAATTTTGAATATAACCAATTCATTGCCGTACCCATTTTTTTGGTCTTATTGCAGTTATCCTGTTTCTGCTGTTTTTATTGTTTTCAATGCCCCTAATGATCTTTGGTAAGCAACAACGTCCACGATGAACTCTTTTTCTCTTTTTATTTATTTATTTTTTTCCTTCATTTTTGTGCTATATCTTCATTATTCTTTGCAGAAAATAAAGCAAACATAAGTTTTTTTTTTTTTTTCAATTGTCCGTCATTCAAATATATAAACAGAAGTTGATGGATGAGTATGCCCTTGAGGTTATACGTTTCATATGTGGGTCATTATCAAGTTTAGATGAGAATCAATTGCTGCAAAGTGGAGCAGTGGAAGCAACCTTTCAGGCTATCAAAAATGGCATCCTATAAGGATAGGTCCGAGGTTGAGGACCTCGGACGTACTGTAGCAATTCTTTAATAGCCGAAGTGAAACTAAATCCAGCACTTCTGGTCAAACGACTGCACAGTAAATACAGTGGGCATGCCCATACTTGATTTATCACACAATCCCCCGGTTCCGAATTTGTCACCGGTCCCGAATTTATCTTTTTAAGGGACACATCACACTCCGATCATCCTGCTAAGCAAGCCACGTGGATACCTCACGAAGGCCTATAAATACCCCCCAGGGGCCACCTCAAAAAGGTAATTGAAACCATCCTAAAGCTCCTTTTTCATTAGTCCAAAGATATACCCGATTATTGCTGACTTAAGCATCGGAGTGTCTACCCCGAGGACTCACCTCGCACTACAAACAGAATGCCTTTTACCAACGGAAGTTTATACTAACGGACATGAATCCGTCCGTATAAAACCATCTATACCAACGGAAAAATTTAAGTAGTTAGTATACACAGATCTATACCAATGGAAAAATTATCCGTTAGTATAAGATGAATTTATACAAACGGATTCTAATTATCCGTCTGTATCGAGTATGTCAATTCTAACGGATAATCATTATCCATCTGTGTACTTGTGACTATACAGACGGATTAACGCTGTCTGTGTAATTCTCTATTTCTTAAACATATTTTTTTTTCTTTTCAATTTTAGCCATCTGTATACATTTTCCCATCCCCCCACATATTCCCAATTTTCCCTCCCCAAATTCTGAGTTTCCCTCCCCTGGTAGACCTAATTATTTCCGTCCCTCTCCCAAATCTCCAAATTTTGGAGTTGATTTTGCTAAAACTCAAAAACCCATTTGAACCTAATTGCCAAATTCATTTCCTCGACTCTAATCCATCAACGACAGGAGGTCAATAGGTGAGTTTGTGTTGATTTTGGGTGATTTCTTCTTAATCCTCTTTGTTTCTTCTCTCTGCCAGTGGTGTTGCTAACGCGGATTGGAACATTCTCGATGATGCGACGGAGTTTGACCTCTAGGTCATCCTCTTCCTCCTTTAACACTGGCTTCTCATACTCCACAATCGCCGTCGATCCCACTGCAGGAGGACGCGGCGATAGTCCCGATTTCTATTCCGCCAACGCTAACTGCATGTTCGCGTCCTTCGGTCTGCCTGTCAACATTTTGTCTCAAAACCCTAACAAAACTGAGACTTTATGGTTTTTAGGAAGATAATTTAACTCATGTTTGAGTTTGATGATAATTTGTAGGGTTTTGCATAATCAAGGGATTTGGGGTTGCAGAATAAGTGCTACAGGGGAGAGAGGTTGCTGCTCTGGATCTGCTTGAAACCCATTTCTCCCTTTTTCTACCACTATTTCCATCTGTCATCTCTCGATTTCATTGTTTCCTCAAGTATTCCCCTTTCTCCCGTCTTCTTCACTCTTCCTTTCTCCCATTTGCTTGCTGTTCTCTCTCTCTCTTTCTCTCTTTTTTTTTTAAGTTTGTTTTGTTTGATGATGGGATCCATCTTGTTAGTTCTTGTTTTTGGGCTAATTTCATTGTTTCCTAACATGGGTCTTTGTGATTTGCAGGTTTTAGGGCCTCATCTGGTGAAGCTTCATGGCTTCTAAGCGGATTTTGAAGGAACTCAAGGATTTGTAGAAGGTTCGAGAAAAGGTCTACTACTATTTCAAAAAACATACAAGAATTTGTCTGCTGAAGGATTTGCAAGAATGTTATATAAGGTATGTATCTTCTTCATTTACTTGACTGCTGAAGTATTTATCATAGACCATTTGAACTTGGAAAATAATGTGCCATTCTAGCCTAAGTAAGAATGAATCTTGTATCTGTACGCGTTTATTTGTTAGAGCTACAGTGCCTTGGTGGATCTCCATAAATGATAAAGTTGTGTTTTTAGTTTCACTAATAATTGTGGCTTCTAATCAGCTTTGATTTGTTATTTGTAAATTTCAGAGTGGAAGACGTCTGTTGCTACAACTACTTCATCCAAATTGTTCACGTTATTTAAGTCCTGATGATCTAGCATCTCTAAATTTATCAATTCCTTCTCTCAGTGCTGGGGTAGATTGATCTTTTGTAGAACTATCTTAAGAGTGGTGATCCAATACAAATGTCCTAAATCTATGATTTTGACCCCATTTTT